CACTCCAAAAGATTTAACATTTCAACAGCAACTGAATGTGTACTGCAATCCAATATTGAATATGGTAACTATTTATTTACTATGATACGAAGGACATTCCAACACTTTGTACCGGTTCCATCATTTTAAGGGAGATTGGAGATAACTTTTCAATATATTTTAATTTAGTTCGTGACTAATTCCAATCATTAAAGTGCTTCTATATACCTAAACGATAAAAAAATAGGTACATCGGTAAAACAAATTGTAGGTATGATTGCCGTAAGCGATTGTAAGCATTTTCAATTTTTCTTGCCCTACCGTTTTCCTAAATTTAGCGGTGTACTTATGAGGTCTGTTCAAAACATATCGCGATTTTTTTGTTTTTTCAGAAATTATTTATTCTTGAATATCTATTTTGGCTCCGTCATATTAACCCCACTAGATATTATACATTTATGCCAAAGTTTTCCAATCCTCGAAGCACTTCAAAAAATCATTTTTTGTGATCTTGTTCAGTGCCGTCATTATCTCCTCAATCATAGCGTAGCGTCGTCCTTTAATGGCCGTCTTCAGTTTCGGGAACAAGAAAAGTTACAGGGTGCGGAACACTGTGGCTGCGGCATTATTAGTGTACTGTTTTTGGCCAAAAATTCGCGCACAAGCAACGATGTGTGGACAAAAACATTATCATGGTGGAAAAGCTAATTTTTGTTCTTCAACAAATCCGGGCGTTTCTGGCGGATTGCTTCGCGCAAATTGCGCATAACTTGCAGGTAATATTCCTTATTGACCGTTCTACCCTGTGGCAAGAACTCATGATGCACCACGCCCCTGCAATCGAAGAAAACTGTAAGCAAAACCTTCACATTCGACCTAACTTGGCGCGCTTTTTTTGGTCTTGGCTCGTGCGAACGTGCCAACTTCCATCGGGATGATTGAGCTTTGGTTTCCACGTCATAACCATAAACCCATGATTCGTCACCAGTTATGACCCTCTTGTTCTCTTATTCTTTCAAATACCTCTTCATTTCTAACCTTCTCTATCCACGTTATCATCATCTTATTCATACCCTTCAAAAAATCATTTTTTGTGATCTTGTTCAGTGCCGTCATTATCTCCTCAATCATAGCGTAGCGTCGTCCTTTAATGGCCCTCTTCAGTTTCGGGAACAAGAAAAGTTACAGGGTGCGGAATACCGTGGCTGCGGCATTATTAGTGTACTGTTTTTGGCCACAAATTCGCGCACAAGCAACGATGTATGGACAAGGACATTATCATGGTGCAAAAGCTAATTTTTGTTCTTCAACAAATCCGAGCGTTTCTCGTGGATAGCTTTGCCCAAATTGTGCACAACTTGCAGGTGGTATTCCTTGGCGTGTTTTTTTTTTTGTATTGACTCGTGCGGCAGCTTCCATTGGGATGATTGAGCTTTAGTTTCGACGTCATAACCATAAACCCACTTATGACCTTCTGGAGCAAATTTGAGTCGCCACGGAGAGAGTCCAACAGCTACTGTTTGTATTCTTAAGGCAAATTTTGCCTATCCACAGGTAATATAAATTCGACAATACATGAAAATGTTCGTCGCAGTTTATATGAATTATTTTTTACCTTAATTCTACGTAGTATGAAAGTACCCCATAATCTTCTTTTGTGTTCCCGCCTTTTTACTGCGTTTGCAAATACACAGTTTCGGTTGTACTTGACTTTTTGACATAATAATGTAATTGNGAACTCCGCTGTTTGGGCAACAGCTACATCCATACATATCCGAATTTGGTTGCTGAAGGATTATTCCCAATGACGACAAACAAACTGGTCACTGCTTTCATGGAGATAATATAGTTATAAAAATGGTAATTCCCACCGTATCGAATGAAACTAAATATTTAGGCCCCTAGAAGTTCCATTTTTGATTTTAAACTAACGACAACAAAATTATAATGATGCAGAATGTTTATCGACATAGGTACCTATACGTTTTATATACATGCTACACGATGTCCCGTAGCTGCTTCATGTAACAACAAAACAGTAATCGTACGTAGGGTTAGATTGCAAATATGTTATGGGATTGTTTGGTTTCCTTAAATTTATTTTTACTTATTCTCCCTTACTAGGTACTAATATATTTGTTATGAAATTCGCGATATTCAAACATATTTGACTTTTTAAAGACCTTGTGACAAGCTATAATTAATAATTTGTATATTTTAGGATGAAACTCCCTTTCAAGATAAAGCCACTCGTCATAAATTTATCCGTAAAGTACAGATAATTCACTTTTTTATTCTACTTGTTACTATAGGGGGTGTTGCCGTGTTCCATTTTCAGTAAGAATTTACAATTCGTTATAGTTATAATAATTTGAGCTACTTTTTTGTTACAGACCAGTTTTATACAAAGAAGTAAATACTACTAGTACTATTATAGAAGGGGGGACCGTAATAGAGGCAGAAGCATCGCACACTCATTCTATATATATATCTGTATTCTTAATTCTATTTTGGATAGCCCTGTAAGTATAGAGAATATCCTTACCTAAATATGCCAGAGTCGTGTTAGCATCCAGCTTCAGTTTTAAATAAAATGAAAATGGCATTGACAGTATTGTATGAAAATAAATAAAAGTAAAACAAAAATACTGGTATATAAGGGATGAAGAAGAAGGGAAAGAGCGAATATAAAGATAGGAGACGAAAAATTAGAAGAAGTGGCCGATTTTAGGTATTTAGAAAGTCAAATAAATCAGAACGGAAGGACTAGTAGGGATATAAAGCAGAGGATAGTGCAGAGTAGAATCGCCTTTAATAAAAAAAAGTCACTTCTATGCCCGCGAACAGTCAATTTAGAAATTCGAAAAATATTGTTAAAGGTGAATGTTTGGAGCGCGGGGCTGTACGGGTGCGATACATGGACGGTGGAGCGGTGGAAAATAAAAGGTTAGAAAATCGTTTCAAATGTGGCGTTACAGGCGAATGACGAGGATACCGTGGATAAAGAAAGTTAGAACTGAAGATGTATTAGAAAAAGTAAGAGAACAGGGGACTATGAAAGTCAATAAGAAATAGGCGAGATAGGTTAGTACGAAGTTAGGAGGAGTAGAGGTAGACCTAGATTAGATTACTGTTTGCAAATAGTTTAGGATATGCGTTGTGTAAGTTTTAAGGAAATGCGAAGATTAACTCAGGATAGGAAAATGTGGAAGTGTTACCAGTCTTGTAACTGATGACCTTATGATGATGTCTCAAGGTAGTTATTTCCTTAGTCTCTTTCAATTGGCGAAAAACCGTGTTTTAACCGGTTTCCGCATTTTTTTCTCTTTAATTGTTATTACCTTCGAAAACAATAAAACCAAGATTAGTACCTTAGCGAACACCGCTAAGAAAATTTTTCACAAGTAACTAGTTGAAAATATATAGTGTGGCGGATAATAACACTGCTATATTTAATTTAAAACATATATTTGACTAAACATTATATTAGACCCTTTTTAAATATTTCTACTCGAATTCTTTTGTATCTGTCTTTCGATTATTATTATTCTCTGTGAAAATATTTGGAACAGTGTATTCAAATTGTTTTGTATTCAATTCTATCGCTATCAATAAATTTTATTACATGTACTTTCCAGTAATCCCTATTAATATTTCAGCTTCGCGTACTAACTGCATGCCGTCCGTAGTTGGCTTCCTTTCCTAGTTACAATTTTACGATGGACTTTCTTCGGTGATTTGGGACTCATTCTACTTATTAGTATTTGTTATCTTCAGAACTTATTAGGTACTACCCTATTAGTACCCTACTTTCATTAACCAAATATTAGTTCCACCTTCATATTTCTTTTCAATAAACTTTTTCTTTGATAATTTAGACAGTTCGTTCCGAATCTCTCGTTCTTCAAGTAGCAATTCTTTAGTTCTACAAGTTGTTAGATTAATTGTTATTGTTGTTGTTATTCGTTATATAGTTTTATTTTCTAACTCCGAAGCTATCCTATCGTAGCTCNATTCTTATAAATCAGTTTATTGTTTTGACAACGAGAAAGGACCAGTAGAAGTAACTTGGGCATTAATTGCTGCGGGGGTAGATCACCCGTGCTTACTCAGCTGTTTATTAATTTATGCATGGATAGGAGAAAATTATGACGAATCAATTGTTATTTGCTGGGAATTACATTAAGTATTAGAAGTTGTCTAATTTTGTTGGACATTTTTAATTTTAGAGGTCGTAAACTAGATACACCGTTGGAAAATGCGATTCAAGAGGCGATGGCCGAATTGGATAAAATGTCAAAAAAGGAAACGACCAGCTCCTTAACCGAACAAAAGGAGATAGGAGTGCTGACCAAGAAATCTCCAGGTCGTTTACGAAGTCACAAATGAATATCGCTAAACTATTATCACCGAACGAAATTTAGAAAAAGAAACCGGACCAAACCGTAAAAATCAAAGTGTTTATATATACTACATATGTATTTATCACGGAGAGGACAAATTTTGATAACATTTTTCCTTGATCGTATTGGTAATGTTTCCTAAATATATTAAAAAATAATATTAGAATAATA